CCGATACAGCTTTAGCATAACGAGGTTGAACCGCTTCTTCAATTTCAAGTCTCCGCTCGTGAATAGCGCTGCTCTGTCTCCCCCTCTAAACACACACCTCTCCTTCTCACACTATCGATCACTCACTCACACTCACTCACTCACCCCCCCCCCTCTCTTCTGTCTCTGTTTCTTTCACTCATCTACACTCTTTCTCTCTCTCTCTTTTATCATTCTCTTCCTATTCTGTCAACACATTCTTCTCCAACCCCTCCCTCTCAATTCTCACGTGCACTCTCTTCTTCTATCCTCTCATTCCAAGTGCTTAAACCTGGTGTAACTTTACTGTTTTTTTCCAGCCACAATCAGAGCTAATGAGAGACTCACCGTCTTGTCTACCCACTGACTGAGCTGCGGTTCCTCTCACTGGTTCCGAGCCTCTCAGTGATGTACTTCAGTGTTCTGGGCTGTACAGGTAACAACAAACCACTGGTCAGAGTCCAACAGCTAATGTCTGGCAGTAAATCATAGCCAAGCCCTGTTGCCTTGGAGATTTCCACAGAAACTCAAGTTTACCTGATATAAAAGTCCTTCTGGTCAGAGTTCAATCCCTAAAGCATCAATTTCAGAGAGTTAGCAAACTGGCAAATGGGGACGTTTGGAGAATTTGTTTTCCTACACAGTTGGTTGTTGGGTTATGGAAAGCACTGGTGAGATTGAGGTTTGCGGCAGATTCCAGATTGGTTTTTAGACCATCAGAAGATATCGATCTAAATGGAGTCAACTATCTAAAAAGGGGTTTGGGAAAAGAGCAACGTAAATGGGACTGAAAGGATTTTCATAAAAATAGCCACAGCCATCCTTCTTCTGTGCTGCACATCTACATGTTTCTTTGTTCGTGAGTGTGGCACAAAAGATTGGATTCAGGGATTTAAAAAAAAACTGATCAGTAAAGGAAGGAAAAAATATATTGGAAACGCTCGTTTTTTTATTGTGTTAAATGTTATGAAGTTTCTCTCTCATTTTCTCTTCTTCTCACAAACTCCTCTGTCCTCTCTCAGTCATTGGCTCCCCCTCGCGCTCTGTCTTACCGACACTCTTTCGTTCTCTCAGTTCCTCTCTCTCTATCACACTCATCTCCCACACCAGCCCTCCCTCCACTCACACTCCCTTTCGCCTCTCACAGTCTCTCCGTCTACGCTCTCTCGATAACTCACTCCTCCTTTTCTCCCTCTCTTCACAAACACTCTCTCCTCCAAATCTTATTCACTTTCTTTCACTCTCTGTCTCCATATCTCTGTTTCTTTCTCACCACCTCTCTCCCTCTGACCTCCTTTCTGTCAATCACTTTGCCCCTCACATTTCACTCACATTCTCACACACACTCTCTCACTCAATAGCTATCTCTTCGCCTCTGTCGTACAGTCACTCACTGCCAATCTCTCACCGCTTTGCTTATTCCCTCTTTCCCTCCCGGTCTCTGTTTCTTTCTCTCACCCCATCATCTCTCTACCGCACTCTGTCTCCCCTCTAACACACACACACTCTCCTTCTCACACTATCGATCACTCATCACACTCACTCACTCCACTCCCCCCCCCTCTCTTCCTGTCTCTGTTTCTTTCATTCATCTCACTCTTTCTCTCTCTCTTTTATCATTCTCTCCCTATTTCTGTCAACCATTCTTCCCTCCAACCCCTCCCTCTCAATTCTCACGTGCACTCTCTTTCTTCTATCCTCTCATTCCAAGTGCTTAAACCTGGTGTAACTTTACTGTTTTTTTCCAGCCACAATCAGAGTAATGAGAGACTCACCGTCTTGTCTACCCACTGACTGAGCTGCGGTTCCTGTCACTGGTTCCCGAGCCTCTCAGTGATGTACTTCAGTGTTCAGGGCTGTACAGGTAATAACACACTCTGGTCAGAGTCCAGCAGCTAATGTCTGGCAGTAAATCATAGCCTCGCCCTGTTCCCTTGGAGATTTCCACAGAAACTCAATCTTTACCTGCTATAAAAGTTCCACTGGTCGAGGTTTAGTTCTTAAAACATCAATTTAAGACAAACAAGTAGAAAACTGTAAATGAGGAGGTTTGAGAATATGTTGTCCGGCGCATTTGATTGTTGGGTTGCGGAAAGCTCTGGCGGGAATAGTCATTGAGGCAGAAACCATATTGGTTTTCAAAACAGGTCTACATATCGATCTAAATGGAGTGAACTATCTACAACTAGATTAGGGAACAGAGCAGAGAAATGGGACGGAAAGAATTGTTATAAATGTGCCACCACATCCACCACACGCTGAATACTCTTCGTCGGTGCTGTACATCTCTATAGTTCTTTGTTTGTGGTTTTGGTATCAAAGTTTGGCTTTAGGAATTTTTGAAAAACTAAACAGGAAGGAAGAAATAAACTTATTGGAGATGCCATTTTTTAAAAATATTGTGTTAATGGTGTGGATTTTGTCGCTCATTTTATCTCTTTCCTCTCACAGTCTCCTGTGTCACTCTCTCAATCACTCTCTGCCCCTCTCTTTTGTTTCTCTCACATTCTCTCCCTATCTCAGTTACTCTCTCTCATACACCCTTTCTCCCCACACGACAACACCCCTCTAACAATCTCTTTCCCTTCTAACACTCCCTCTATCTCCCCTCTCTCTATCACTCACTCTCCCTCCTTGTCTCTGTTTCTTGCTGTCGCCACAACCCCACACTCCCACACACTCTCCAGCCCGTCTTTTTCTTTCACTCAGTCCACATTTCTGTCAATCATACTCTTTTCTCACTCACCCTCTCACCACGCTGTCCTCTCTTCTATCAGTCTGGGTATCAATCAATCTGTCTCCCCCTCTGTCAAACACTATTTCTATAGAGTAAGAAACTCTATTTCTCTCTACTCCATGTCCATCCACCCCCTCCCCCCACTGTCTCTCTCGTTTCTTACTCACACTCTTACCTACACACACTCTCTTCTCTCATTCTCTCACAAACATTCTCCCTCACTGCCCCTCTCCACCACTCTCACACACACACCACC